ATAAACGATAACATTATTTGTCGTTTGCTAATTCAAAGACATTATTATGTTTTCAATACAGTAACGCCTTGTCCAAGGCAAGAAACGCATATTTAGCAATATTATTTGATCTTATTCTGTCGTTACAAACAAATGCGTTAAAAGATTAGACTGTTATACGCAGCAGAGTAAGCGACGTCAAGTTTGGCTTCAGACAATCCATTGAGAGGCCAGTGAGTGCATCTGCTAAAGTCGCAACTTAGTTGATGTTGTGCTTGTTTGTCTGTTTGTTGTTTAACGCCGCACTCAGCAATATTCCAGCTACATGGGTCTGTAAATAATCGAGTCTGGACCAGACAATCCAGTGATTGTCATTATAAACACCGATCCACGCAATTGGGATCGATGACATGCATCAACCAAGTCAGCGAGCCTGACCACCCGATCCCGTTATTCACCTTTTACGACAGTCATAGTGGCCTTTTACGACAAGCATAGGATGCTGAAGACCTATTCTACCCCGGATCTTCACGGGCCTAGTCGATGCTGTGTAATAACGATCTCTGGGGTAAATATCCGGTAAATATAAAACGGCAAAGCAAGAAAGTAAACTCCAAAACATATTCCATTGGGCGTAAAATGTAAAATAGCAGTGAAAAGTATATGTATGGACCACTGAGAATCAGTTATGACACCAGGTGTTTGCGAAAAGGGTTAGCATGTCCTGCCCTACCGGTAGCACCCGCCATGCCAACAAAGAAGATTTTGTATCGAAACCTAGACCATGCCCTAGAGCGCGAGAAGAGAAAACATATTCGCAACCAGAAACCATTGAACGATTATCACAATGCTGTTTCGCATCTGGTTGGACATTGAATAATGTAAATTTGAGATGTGAAGGAACAACATGTCTATTGTGAATGTTTTGGTCGTAAATCGTTATCTTTGTGTCACAATCATACACGGGTCCCCTACAGTTTTTTAGATACCACCCTTCAAATGTGATGGAATCTGATTGGTCAATAGGGGCGCAACGATCGAGTCTGGAAATTCCAACATTGTTTAGCAAGGATGGGAACTGGGCTTTTATTGTCAGTTGACGAACTTGCCTCGGGAAGAATAGTGATGGAAACTTGCTGGCTAAATACGTTCATGAAAAATGTCTCTCTTTTTTGCGAATGGCTGGTTATCTATAAATAGTCCGCAAAAATGGCAACGCCTGCGTTGTGAGGTTGCAAGTTCGCAATTCCTGGATGTGCGTCTCTTAAAACTAGTGCTCATTAATTATTCTAGCCAAAGAGTAAGGAATATTCGTCTATGTGTGGTAAGGATGAGAAGTAGACGCTTTTTATTGTATGTACTTTTGTAAATAACTATTTGTCCGTGTACGAATCTTATACCTGTGTTTTCAATATTTTTGACACCAGGCGTTCGCGAAAAGGTGAGCGTATCGTGCCCCACATGTACCACCCGTCACAAACACATGCAAAGGCAAGTCTAGTATTCGCCCGAACAAAGACGGAAACATATAGTACAAGTCAAACAGAGAAATGCATCGGACATAATTTTAGTCACTGATGGGTCAAATTTGGAAATATCCTCCACCTGTCTAACATGCAACTAGTTTAAAGCTTGACTCTGGGCCTGAATCTAACCCTGATCAAACAACTGGTGAGCAAGAGTCGTCATGGCGGTGTTTGAATGTTGGTAGAAAGAGCATGCTTGATTGTCCCTCAAGTGTTTGACGTAATGGAAAACTGATATCATTTCTCATGTCATTCTTCTTATCGGACACCCCCCCCCCCCCATAGATTAAAAATGAAATTGATGATGCGTTTCATTGGTCTCTGTTATTGCTTGTTAAGCCTTTCGTTCATTTCCATTAAGGTTATGGTTAATCTCGAGACATGGATTTGGTATATGTGTTGCATCTTCCTCTGTATAGATTACTAAGAAGCTATACAAAACAGCACAAAATAGGAATGGAGAGTTTTGTCAGTCTTCTTCGCCCTGAAGGCGGGGAAGTATGTGGTTACTTTGTTTGTGACTAAAAAAGAGTGCCATTTTGGTCCCAGACATGAGCGTTTAAATCGGTACTTGGAGGCCAGTGGCCCAATGGTACAAATGGTATATCGATTTTTCTTGGCGCGGTGAGTGTCTACAAGTCACAGATTTTCATTAGCTTGAGCAATAATCTCATTATGTATGCTATTTTGTTGTGGAATGAGTCGACATAAATGCTGCATGTTTAAACAGTTGTAATTAATATGTAGCAGTTCTTTGAACATTGTTAACATTGCCATTATTCAATATCAATAGGCATAACAATTCTTCTTGACAGTTAGAGCTTACATGGGTTAGAAACAAAGTTTCTGTAAGCCACAGATATAAATCAGCTTAAGCAAAAATCACATAATGTATGGCATTTTGTTATGGGTTGAGGCGACATAATTGTTGCATGTACCTTAAACAGGTGTAACCAATATGAAGTAGTTCTTTGAACATTATCATTACCATTGTTCGGTATCAGAGTTAATTTTTATATATTTTGGTGTTTCCATTCCTTAAGATACTTTTATCTGAGGTCAGTAAACAATGGACAGACTGCAAATATATGGAGCTGCAAACAATATAAATAGATATCTCCGGTAGAATGGCAAGCAATTAAATCTACCAATTTCTGTCATCAATTTACAACTGTCACATCTAATTTTGCAAAATACATTTTTAGTTCACCTAGGATATCACAATTCGGGTAACTTTCAACATGTAAAAGACTTTAAAAATGACAATAAAATCTTTTACAAGTCGACATGTCGTTTAAGTCTGAAGACCAATTTTGTTGTGCTATATCACTTAACCTTTGTTTTATGAGAAACAAAAACATTTTCTGGTTACCTATCTCTTGTGATAACCAGGCATACCCAAATCTATTCGGAATCTTTAAAGTCCACGTATCTTTACCATGTTCGGTCATAGATTTTAACATTAAATAACTGTTCGAGTATCTCTCCGGAGGCATTGATAACGCTTTACACCAAAAGTTTATGCATCTTACCATTACACACTAGAAATAAAGGTTTCCTTCCACATTGTCCCACTACGGCAATAGAAACATCACCCCAAGTAACACTGCATGAAAAGTTGTCATTTAAGTATCTGGGTAATTTTTGTCAAATTTTCTAAAAATTAACATTACCTTGTCCGGAAAAATGAAATTTGATGATTAAAAAACCCAAAGCAGATGACAATAAAACCGATCACCCAAACGCATCACGGCAACGGCAATGGTAACCCGATGCACGTGAGTTCTGAGCAAATTGAAATGCACATGCGTTCCCCCATTTCTTGCCCTATAAAAATCCACCCAGATTGGATAACGTTCAATCGTTATTGAATTGTCCCAACATGCCAAGATTGACAAGAAATCAGCTACACCAAGCCCGTGGACGATTGCAAGCTGGACAAACCGGCCGGCAAGTAGCCGATGCATTTCAAGTCAGCGTAAGGACCATATACAGGCTCCAGCAACGGTACCAGACCACCAAGACTACAGATGACCGACCACGTAGTGGAAGACCAGGGGTCACCACCCAGCGTCTAGATCGTCAGATTGTGCGACAGCATCTTCAAGATCTCTTTGTTACTGCTGCGGAAACTGCTAGACAGACCATGGGGACACACCAGCGATGCATTAGTGCGGACACCGTGCGTCGACGATTGACGATTTAAATCCCATTGAGCACCTGTGGGACGAGATTCAAAGATGGCTGAATGACGTCCGAACAAGGCCGACAACTGCAGCTGAACTGCGTCAGGCGTTCCTCAGAGTGTGGGCTCAAGTGCCTGTGGCCTTCATCAACCGCCTCATCCATTCCATGTATCGACGTTGCACGGCAATCATCAATGCACATGGCGGACACACGAGAAACTGACTTGTGATGCCATTTTCTCAGAGACTAGTGTTGTGTTTCACTTTAAGAACATTTGACACATCAATTTCAACCTTGATGATCAGTTTTACCAAGTTTCATCTTTTTATTATGTCTCAAAGTATGTTTATAGTGTTTGGACAAATAAGGCTTCTGATATATCTATCCATAGTGACGTTTCTTTTGCGGTTCAGTATATTTCCGACTCAACTGTACTAGGACTCGCTCTAAATGTTCTGAGTATTGTGTGCCCCAAATTTCTGATCCACACCACTTGGAGTCTGTAAAATGAGTGAATTAATATGGACATGGTTGAACCAATCGCCTGTCACATTCTGTGACTTAGACATGTTTCGTTGTAGATAATCCATAAAATGTGTTAATTTTGCTTTAAAAAAAAGCTTTACATGTTTAGGGGAACTATGTCTACTTTCGCTAAAGTTAACAGATCAAAATTTTGTAAGCATAAACTATTGCGCATTAAGCGATTATCTCCTTTAGCTATATGCGTATTTATAGCTTTATCACGCACTGCCCTTGCCATTCTATGCATTGTATCTTATTCAAGCTGTAAGCTGGTTTGGGGAGTGATTGCTTATCTCCCAAAAGCTCTAATGCGCAGTATCTTTGCAATGTATCGGATTTTATTCGGGCACCCAGCGTGAAGGAATTCAGGTCAAGCATGTACCGCACATCCAATCCTTCACACCCTTTACACTGCTAGTGAAACATATGGTTTAACACGAATAAATACCAGGCTTCTATAAAGTATGACTCAAATAAATAACATATGTGAAACAGTGGGTTTGATATGAGAGCTTTGTAAGTCTTTCTCTTCATAATCATATGTATGGTGCAAGCTCTGTGTGCAAAGTTGAGCACAACATTGTTTCAAATAGTGCACTGAATGTAATGTGTGATTCATGACGTGGCTTACAGTTGTACATGGTTTACTGCTTTGACAGTTATTTTTATCGGAAAACCATATACCGGAAAATGGTCTCAGTTTCCGGTTCACAGGAAATCAACAGGTAGGTCTATATTTTGCAATTCATTCACAAAGAGTCTGAAAAGCGACAGAAACACGAATTAAACAGTTTTATTAAAGAGAATATTACAACGTCAAAATAGCTTGAATACAGATAAAGTTGTTAGAGTCACACGTTTACAATAATATCTTATAACACAAACAGAGGAGGTGAAATTTGGGTTTAACGTCGCGTCCAAGATTATGCAACATGTTTGTGTGTGGCTGCTTGTACTAGTCCGGACTGATACCGATTTATGGTGCTAGCCCAATGAGATACCATGCCGCAGTTTAACATGAATACCCCACTCAGACACAGTATGCTGACACAAGTTTCAGCTTAGAAGCACATCCCCAAAAGGTCACATACTGTGACTACCCGATCCTCATTTAATCGGCACTTGCCACATCCCCGGGGTACTGGAAACCTATCCTGCACCGGAATCCTAATGTAGCTAGTAATGTTGCAGTCGCAACAATAAATCATGAGAAAACACAAACACATTGTACATTTTTTGTATACGCAGACATGTTAATACTGTTTTCATTTAGCACATACGCAATCAATGCATTCGTGTTTTTCATTGTCGAATTCAAAATATTTTGAAGGAAATACAGTGGAATTGTTTTGCTCTCGGAGATTACAGTCATGTTTATTTAGTAAAATCTGTATAAGTCATCCTGAAGCCTAAGTCATTTTATAAATGAATCATAATTTACATAAACAGTAACCAAACAATTTACCACAAGTAAATGCGTAATCCCCACATAAGACATATGATGATCAGGAAATAGTACATGAAATACTATTGGCATAAATAGTACCACAACAATTTACGACATTGGACGAAGTTGTCCCTACATGAAAAACATAGTGAACAGTACATAATGCTCCAAAACTGATGGATAACACTCAGATCCAATTACACATTTGAGACAAATGTCTATACTAGCGACGCCTTGCTAACAAATGAAAGATTGTTTGCTACAATATCTGGGGAAATACCTGAGCACCATGTGAACACATTATATACTACCTCGCTTCAAGAGTCTATTGAGCAGTGGGGGTAAACCTCTCTGTTCTTGTTCTGGCGCAGATGCTTTCCGTTTCTTTAAAACCGGAGTCAGTGAGACATTGGGAGTCATCTGTCTTACAATTTGTTTAAATGCTTCACAAACCTGGTCGTAGTTAGACGATGATGCCTCAACGTACCCGTGTCGCCATTTTCTTCTGATCAGGTACTCGGCTGATTTGGACGACACAACCTTCTTATCGTCAGGGAGATCCTGCTTATTGGCAACAAAGACGATGGGAACGTTTTTATCCATCTTCAACTCGATGATTTCGTGTCGTAGCCGCTGCATCACCTCAAACGAGTCTTGATCGTCCACTGAATAAACCAGCATAAACGCATCACAGTTAATTATGGAGCTTTTCAGCATTGGAAAGGCTCTGTAAATGCCCGAGGCATCAACTATGTCTAAGTGGAGTCGTGCGTTATGGGTTTTAAAGACCTCTCTTTGAATGTCGTAGATGGACATATCATCCTTTAAATCTTTCTGTCGGAACTGAGAGATGATGGCAGTTTTACCAACGTGTCTTGTGCCAAGTACTGCCACTCTACAGCTCATGGGGGACCTGGTAGGGCTGCGCCTGGTGATGAGACGTCGGAATGCGGATCTCAGAGAAGCCATTCTGTGTCTTTGACAGTCTGTGGAAAGTTCGAGCTCTACACCTACTATTATACCCTTTACGAGTGAGTCATAGAACTGACAGATGTTGTTATTAGAAGTAATGTGTTGAGAACGATGACGTAGGCATTTTCACAAATAAACTTGTTATGGCAACTGTTGCCAGGACGAGACCTGGCTCGTTGCACAAAGCTGTCTCAGATGAACATTTTTCCTCACGAGCATTGACATATTTAGAGGGATATACTGTAATATCTTAATATTCTCGTATGCAAATTGCATGTGAAATGTGATGTTCTTATCAAACTTTGGCGTGACAATCAAAGCCAATAAAATGGAATAAAATATTAACTGTCTGGGGTGATATCAAAAAATAACTGTTTAAAGAGGGCTTTAGCATACCTCCCTAATTCTTCATCGGAACTGCAATTGAATCCCTATTGGAAAAACCTTTCTTCACTCTTTTCAATATATTCCAAGCTTGATAAAACACACATTTAAAAGTTAGATCTTCCATACATATCACACTGAGAGCCAAAATAACTAAACATGTTGGAAAATAAAGTATCAAGTTCCTCTAAGAGTCTAGAGTAATGGTCAAGTTTAGCAGGGCTTTAACATGTTAAATACCCACTAAAGGACAAACTGACCAATTACAAGCAGGTTTTAACTGTTTTACAGAGCTAATCCTAAAAACAGAGACAGCGACCAAAGCTTACTTAAATGGTTTTGTCTTTCCTTTAGAGATACTTTGTCTAGTATTTAGCGTGTGTTTGCTCTCCATCATACGCTCACATGCACAACTCTGTAAGTGAGAGTCTTAACATTTTAGACTATGCAACCGGTGACGCCTATCAGTACTTGTGAAACAAGAGTACAAGATTGTATGGTATACACGGATCACCAAGTGCTCTAAGATGACACATTTCGATGAACAAACATCGCATCTATTAGCCGTGCAAGGATCCCATGCTCATTGGTTCCTCCCGGTTACGATTTTGTTCTAATTCTATGACTGTGTTCGAAGGTTTCACGAAAGTGACAAACGTCTGAGACCTGCATCCCTTCGGGCGTTCATTCCACATTAAGGTTACAGTTGTGACTCAACTGAATTACTTTTTCAAAGTGGCATGAAACCCAAATCACTCACTTCAGTATAATGGTGCGTATAAAATTTGTGTGAATGATCATTCAAAAACAACTGGCGATGCATCGTACGTGTCTCGACTAATTTATAATACTAACACTTACTTAATTTAGAGGAACTTTGAGGTCACCTTGTGTTTACATCGTTCGCTCCGTTCGCCGAGGAACCGGATTTGAAATCCCTGCCTCGATGTGACTGGAATATTGCGTCCTCCTTATGGAGGAGTCGTACACTTTTAATTCACAAGAGTTTGTTTTCAGAGTGTCCATCGGGTATTTTTTTGTCCGAAACATCCCAGAGAATACCGCACGAATATGAAATGGACGTTGGCTTTGAGAACCACTGAATATAACTGAAGATAATACACCTTAGTTTTGTGTTCTCAACGCATTCTAGTTGTCTAACTATCAGTTAACCTTTTCTCACCTCCTTAGTAGGTAGATGTACTATACTCTTCAACGGCGGAAACAAGCAACGATATTCAGTTCTGGAGATCGATGCTCCTAAAGTCAATCAAAGGTTTGTCTGGAACAGACTCGATTATTTACAGACCGCCGTCAAAATGCTGGAATTTTGTTGAGTACGACGTAAAAACAACAAACAAATTAACAAATTATAGTTTTAATTTAAAAGTATCATGTTGGCAGTTGTAGCGGAATAAATGTCCAGTCTCCAAACAAAATACCAGGCCAATTCAGAATAGCAAATGGTCTGTCCCTTTACACGTTTTAGAGTCACTATCACATACACATAGTGTACACAATTCCAAATTTACGAATCTACAATTACAAGATGGCTATCATATTTAAATCTTATTACTTGCCCGTGAAACGATCACCCGTTTAATAAACATACAGCTGTATTACACATTGTGTTAAACCAAAACGCGTGCTTATGTACTCTCGGAACACGTTTCATGAACAAATATTGAAAGCTCTCAACATCCCTTGGCTTATTCAACGACATTGCGTGTGGAGATGATAGACCACTGAGATGAGCCTATGCACACTCGATGACCCTAGCAACCTTGTTGCTAAACTCGCTCCCTGGTAAAACCATTATTATGAAACTCTAACGATTAGTATCTTTTGTTACTAAATTACACATATTATGTAATATTACCCTTCAGATTACTGTAGGTACAAAGATATATTAAAAAACTTACATTTTTGTCGATTTGGCGGACATATACTCGGCGGAGGTCTGACGGTCTATGTCACGTGGTCAGTTCACTCTCATTAAGCAAAAAGTATTTCAAGTGGATGAAACTGCTTGGTTTTCAGAGTTGCGGAATGATGCTAATAACCCTAATGGTATTAAGCTGAGGTCCTATAGATTGCTTAAGAAGGATCTAGCGCCTGAGCCCTATGTCTTATCAAATTATATCCATAGAAACACCAGAAAATATTTGGCACTTTAAGGCAGTGGCAGCCTCCCCATTAACTTTCAAAAAATGAGGTACAGTCATCCCACTGTCCCCCTTCAGGATAGAACTTGCCCTTTTTGTTTTAACTCAGTAGAGACTGAGGTCCACTTCTTAATTGATTGTAGCTTGTATGATGATTTACGTTATGATGTTATGAACGCTATTTGTGAATGTATACCAGATACTTCGATAGATTTTATTACCTTCTACGTCACATCTATCAAATCCCTCTATCTCTCTCTATTTCTCTCAATATATATATATATATATATATATATATATATATATATATATTATATAGTTGAATAAAATAAATCAACTAAAAATACTGATGCCCAAAATATAACATACACGTGGGGGATATGTCGCCAGACGTGTTTTAGACGTGGTATGTGGACCTATTTGAAGTAAGGGAACTTACACTGTGAAGCGTATCAAATCACAGATGGTCTCCCTGTCTTCCCAAGTGATGTACAGAGAGCGACAGAAGACATACCTATGGAGCTGACATACACCCTGTATGTGAGACTAGCGTCTCCCTGTCTGAACCTGTCTTTACAACTGATCTACATAGTATCTGTAGTAGTCTGAAAGTCGACATATTTGCCTCCGGCACAGCTGAGGTGTTCTTTGACCTGAACAGTTACACAAGAGAGTGACATTGGTGGTTTCATTTTGCAGAAATCAAAGTTTGACTTAACGCGGGCATGTAACAATTCACATCGCCTAGGTTATACAAAGCATTTAATTCTTTTAAAGGTAAGACATAGTTGATTCTGGTATTGATATTATGTATGTATGTGCGTGTGCTAGTGCGTGTGCTAGTGCGTGTACCTGTACATGTGTGTTAAACTCAAGTTTAAAAAGAGGAGCCATTTAACCCCAAACATTTCACACAAATGAACTGACCCGTGAAGATCCAGGGGTAGAAAAGATCTTCAGCAACCCATGCTTGCCGTAAAAGGCGACTATGCTTGTTGTAAGAGGCGACTAACGGGATCGGGTGGTCAGGCTCGCTGACGTGGTTGATGCATGTCATAGTATCCCAATTGAGTGGTCGATGGTCATGATATCTCAATTATGATTCTAGGTTTGTCAGCACCATTCCCGTGCTCTAAGGTTTCACCAAAGAGTTCGGCTCGGAATCTTTAAGTGGGGTATTCATGTTAAACATCGGCATGGTATCTAAGTTGGCTAGCACTATAAAATCGGCATTAGTCCGGCCTAGTACAAGTACACACACACTCACACACGTGAGTCGCTACATAAGTGCAATAATCTTGGATGCGACGTTAAAACCCATTTCACCTCACCCTTATAGTTGCTGTAACATTATAATGCATGGTTAATAATACAACAACCTAGCATACAAGGATTAACATATACCCACAGGCAAATGCATATACACACAGATTATGTAAACAAGAACATATATTTAAGAGCTATTACTGTAAATAAATGTCTATGTTGTCACTCTGGTTCGTATTATTGTTGAAAGTATGTTGTTTGTAATGTGCTTTGGAGAGTATGTTCTTAGTGTCTGATTCTTTGCAGGCTCACGTGAAACAAAACAAATGTGTACCATGTGTGAATCATTGTCATCTTGCTCATGCTGTCAACCACTGGTGTTCATAGCTCTGACACCATAATTATACACCGTGATACATTTCAAATATTGCCGATTATGGCGTACAATCATGTGCCCACAATCATGTTCTCCATTGTTTGATCCCGTGGGAGAGTATGAGCCTCGGGGCATGCTTTGTCTATCATGGCGTAGGGTCGTCCGTCCCCGCACTTAATGAACCCTTTGTGACCCTCAGTCTTTCTTCCATAATGATGGCAAGCATGAGTCAGTAGCCAGAATGCTGCACATGCTTTGAACCTCATATAGTTTCGGAGTCTTTATGGCATGACTATGGAATGAAAGTGATTGGGTACAAAGCTGTTTTTGCATGCAAGGAACGTCGTGGGTGTGGGCGTGGGCGTGGGCGTGGGCGAGGGCGTGGGCGTGGGCATGGGCGTGGGCGTGGGCGTGGGCGTGGGCGTAGTTGTTGGCACGGGTGTGAGAGTGCTCGTGGGCGTGGGCGTGGGCGCGGGCGTGGGCGTGGGCGTGGGTGTTGGCTCGGGCGCGTGCGTGGGCGTGGGCGTGGGCGTGGGCGTGGGCGTGGGCGTGGGCGTGGGCGTAGAAGTGGATTTGATTGAGGAGGGTTTGTTTTGTTGGTTTGTTTGTTGTTTAACTTTGCACTAAGTACTAGTCCGGTTCTATGACGGCAGTCTGTAAATAATCGAGTCTGGACCAGAAAATCCCGTAATTGACATCATGAGTATCGATCCACGCAATTGGGATACAATGACGTGCATCAACCAAGTCAGGAAGCCTGACCACCCGATCCCGTTAGTCGCCTCTTACGACAAGCATGGGTTGCTGAAGACGTATTCTACTCCGGATATATGTAGAGGTAGTTCCTTTTATTCAGCTCATTCATGTTAGTTTCATACTATTTATTGATTATTGTTTTATGAGTTAGCAGTAGATTCCATTTAACGCGATGTGCTGGAACCATCAATAATATGTCGAGTTATCTGTAGTTCAAGACAAGCCGATAAAAGGCCAAAGTGAGTGCGTTAAAATTTTACATCGCATCATCAATTTTGGATCCACATAGCAATGCAAAAGGCCATAGGGTCGAAAAGAAATGTGTCGGGGCTGTTAAGGACGAGGTAGCATAAGGCCTTAGGGTCGACAAGAAATGTGTCGGGGCTGTTAAGGACGAGGTAGCATAAGGCCTTAGGGTCGACAAGAAATGTGTCGGGGCTGTTAAGGACGATGTAGCATAAGGCCTTAGGGTCGACAAGAAATGTGTCGGGGCTGTTAAGGACGAGGTAGCATAAGGCCTTAGGGTCGACAAGAAATGTGTCGGGGCTGTTAAGGACGAGGTAGTATAAAGCCCATTTTGGCTCAGAAGATTTTCATAACTTACGAAGTGAACAAAATCATTATGTATTCATACGATTGAGCACAAGTGAAATTTTGAACATTTTAACGCTTTTGTGTTTTGTACTTATAACAATACCGAATGAATAGGTGAGGCTAAAATATGTCCAAAAGGTTAATTTTAGACGGTTTTTGAAGTGTTGACATGCATAAACATGTCATAGCAAAATAATCTAAAATTTTACTTTTCCGCCATTTGGACATGCCCGAAAACGCTTTTTAGGTCTCCCTGAAATAGTGATTACACAAATGACCCAGTGGTCGTCCTAGCAGAGTTCACCCCTTAGCCGGCCGCCCCAGTGTTTGCAGGTGTTCAGGTTTATCTCGACTACGACCTTTGGTGGTCAGTTTGGGTCAGCCTAGGCGTTACTCCCTCATTCAGCTGAAGCCCTGATGTAACTGACATTGTTTTAGGAGAGGTAAATCCCCTACTTACTCACTACTAACTCACGCAGTAACTGCGTCCTGCGCCGCGACTGCATCTGCTTCATTATTCATCAGATCAACGTGACATTTTATTCCGGGACAAACCGCTTGATGGTTACGGAAAGGGGCGAGTGGTGACGAATGCGTGACATTTAATTCATCTACGTAATTGTTTCTGATCTTGAAATATGCATCAACTCAACTAACTGAAAAAAGGATGACATGTTTCGTTGATTGCGAGACATAAACCTAAACAACGAATAGTCATGTGTTGACAGAAAATACTTATTAAATCAAATGTATTTTGCTTTGATTTGTTTTTTGTAAAAACAACAACAAAATATTAACATGGATTAAAATAATCAGTATGCTTGTGTGTATTCAAGATCCGTCACTACAGTCATAATAGTGGCCCATTATTCAAAGGCGCCTCAGCTGGGTCCCATTGGTGTACCAGAATCCTATGGCCTTGGGTTCGATTCGCCATAATTATATTTCTATGTTTCTGAGCACCATAGCCATGC